GTGTTTGCTCTGCTCCCGATCTGTATTGTCTAAATGGACTTTGAACTTGAATATTGTTCTTTATCTCCATATTTCATAAATTCCAATGTAAAACGTTGATCGCCCATTGTGACCCCACTCTACTCTCGGGCGTTATGATGCTTTAAACAAATTTGAATCTACTCTCATTGAGGATGCTTCCTTATCAATATGACATCATCATACCTTTGTTGTTCTTGAGAAGATTTTTAAAGATTTTTTCTTATATTTTTGATCGTCCATTGTGGCCCTACCCTAAACCCGGGGTCATGATTGAAACTTCACTACCTGATGATGCTTCCATATTAATATGACTCAATATGGCTTTAATATTCTTAAGAAGATTTATTGGGGAGGGGGGCTATATATTCCTATCTCAACTTCTGATTGTCCATTTTGGCCCCATCCCACCACCGGTGTCATAATTTGAAAAAAATTGAAATTACACTACCTGAAAATCCTGATTTTCAGTTTAATTAATCAGGCCTTTGCTATTCTTGAGAAGAAGATTTTTGAAAGGTCCTTTTACTATATATTCCAGTAGAAACCTTTGATTGTCCATTGTGGACTGTTATCTTACAAAACCAGGGCAAGAATGACTTTGCTCCAACATTCTTTGAATTATTCCAGTGGTGAACTTACCCGTTGTAAATACCTGTGTTGTAGAATAGGATTTGCTTCACAGCCAGCTTTCCCTCCGGAATCTATACTCTAGAGTAGGATCCCCCAGAGGGGAAATCTCACACCAGAGCCAAATTTCCCGCTATTTCTTTCTGATAGTAGGATTTCCCCTGCTTAAATCATGTCAACAATATTTGCCTAAAAGTTAAAATGAAAGTCAACTAATTTTTTAATAGAAAAATAAGCGTTTTCGACACAAGAATTGTCAAATTAAGTATAAAATTTTAGAATATATTACTTAAGTCACAGAAATTTTGAATCATAGGAAATTGTAAAATTAATCACTCAGAAGATTTTAAGATTCGATATCTCAGTATTCCTTGTTGGCGCAAGGGTACATATGTCTGTTCACGAATTTTAAAATGAATATCAGGTCACCTTTAGGCTAGAGATATAATAATTTGTTTGCTCTTAAACTCTTAAAGGCCCATTGTCTTATTTATTAGTCGATGCTTTTCACAAAGATTGTGTGAGAAAATTCCAAAATTTGTGTTCTTGATGGGCTCCACATACCATTTTGTGAGAATTGAATCGAATTGTTCTTTAAGGATAAAAAAAGAGAAAAAGTCAAAACCAAAAGCAAATCAATACAAGAAACATTGCTTTCGCATGCCGAAGAATAAGTATCCTCGACCCAGCGGTGTAATACTAGCATTGGATTTGAAGACACAGAGCAAGTACACTATTCTCTTCAAGTTTTGCAAAATTTCAAATTTTAAGAAATTAAACACCCATTTTAAAATTTTTAGTTCTACGGCAACGGCAGCTATTAATGGTATTTATAAACGAGAGTCTTGGATAGACACTTACACAATATAGTGTTTTATGTACATTTAGTTTGAAATACAATTGAAGAGAAAAAAAATCCATTCAAAATAAAATTCATTTTTTATTTCCATGGATACAGTTAAAGATTTCTCTCCAACCGATTACATTTTACCTGTTTTTTTCAGAAACCAGTTTTACCTGATGAAAAGAATAAGATTTTATTGCTTCAAGAGAATTAGTTGGACAGTTACTAGGAAAAAGAAATTTAAAATTTTCATACTTCGTATGTTTCAATAAAACTGGTCGCCATTTTGAAGAAGGGACACTTGTAACAATATGCCCCCCCCCCCCTTATACATAAATACAGTCATATTTTATGGGGGAATTGGCTTTGGGGGAAATCACACTCTATAACTATTGCACAGAGTAGGATTCCCCCCGGAAAATTGAATCTGGTGTGGGATTTCCATAGCAAAAATCCTACTCTACAGTCATTTTTCCTTGGGGGAAATCCTACTCTTAGAGCCTATTTTCCGGGGGGGGGGGGGATCCTACTCTAGAGCCATTTTTCCGGGGGAAAAGATTTTAGAGGGGAAAGTCTACTCTTCAAGACCGGAATATATGTCAGAGCCACTTTATTAAAATTTGCAGCCTGCATAGACATGTGAATATTCTATGATTAGATAATTTGATTTCGATTTATTTTAGCCAATCTTGACTGCAGGATTTTTAAAAATGTTTTAGAGGTTTTAGTCTAATGTTTTGTTTGTTTGTTTGTCTTTTTACCGCTATTCTTCTTCTTTTTTTAAGACTTTCTAGTTGAAATCTTCAGCCCCTGTCACACCAGGGCTGCTTTCTCACAGAGTTGGCAAGGCGTAGTTAAATTTCTGGGATCTCCGTGGATTATCAGGAAAATTAAATAAAATTTTCAAAAGACGAAAACGTCTCAGCGTCCTGACGGCGACCGTGGCGTTTCTTCCAAACTCCCGCGGCGGCATGTTACTACGTGTCTACGGAGTTCCAAATGACGATTGACAGAGCTCCCGCTGAGTGCAATCTTGACGGTGCTGAGAGTTGTAACTTCACAAAGAGCTGATAGGGTGCACAAGACTTTCTTTCGACGCAGTAACATCTCAAAGGATTCTTAGAGGTATCTATATATATATATGCAACACAGGCACTTGTTTTTGTGATAAATTTTTAACCCATAGTATAATAATATTATTATACTATGGGTTAAAAATTTATTACAGAAACAAGTGCCTGTGATATGCAAGCGCCGTCTATATTGCGATCATGAGCATCGTTTGAGCGCGCCAACGGAACTGTCGTAGCGCTGTGCGAGACCTCACCGCGCTGGCACAGTGACCCTTCCACGTAAAGCCGCGGCGCGTACTTTGTGCGTGCTTAAAGTGTGCGCCGTCAGCATGGCGTTCAAGACGACCCACCGCGTCACTTGGAGATCCCACGAAGTTCTTACGGCGCTGCAAGGCTCTATACTGGGCGTTCATCAGCGTTCAACTTTTTTGTTTCATGAACGCCGTGAGGACGAAGTCCTGGTGTGGCAGGGGCTTTACTTCAGCCATGTTGTGTAAAACGGGAAGGGGTGTGACGGTACATATTGTCGTTTTGTACATATTGTCGTCGGCGACAATATGTAACTCCCCTCACTGCACATATTGTCGTCCATCGGTACATATTGTCGCCGGCTGAAAAGTAACACATGCAGATATTGTCGCTGGCGACATTATGTACCTCACCCTCACTGTACATATTGTCGCCCCACAGATATTGTTGCTTAAAGACTTCTTCTGTTGTTTTTTGGTAGTTTCGTGAATGTAATTAGGGTGTATATCACACCGACGTGTCTCGTATGCTATTTCATGCAGCGTGATTGTGACGGTACATTTTGTCGTCTTGTTCATATTGTCACCGGCGACAATGTGTACCTACCCTCACTGTGCGTATTGTCATCCATCAAAACATGTCGCATGACAATGCACGGCAATGGTCCATATAAATATGGCCAGAGAAACTATAAATTTCAGAAATGGCCATATACACTTAATGTTCTCGTCAAAATATGGCTGAAATATTGCCAACTCGGCACAAAAATTGTAGGATTTTTTTTCTAAATATTCTTTGAAAAAAAGTTGATCACCTGTTGTAGCCACACCTTTCCTTCGAGGGACATGATCTGAATCTACACCTCATAATGAAGTTTTCACATAAGTTTTATTATTTGTGACACAGTGGTGTTTGAGATTTTTAAAAGATGTCACTAAATTTCTACTAATCCTTAACTTCTTCCCTTGAAAGAGGGCCTGTCCCTTCATTTGAACAAACTTGAATCCCCTTTATCCACTGATGCTTTGTGGCAAGTTTGGTTGAACTTAACCCAGTAGTTCTTGAGAAGAAGCTGAAATTGTGAAAAGTTTACAGACAGAGGGACGGTCAGCTAAAATGTGATCAGAAAAGCTCACCTGAACTCCAGCTAAGGTGATCTAAAAATGTGAACCTCAACACAATTATATCGGCATATGATTGTATATAAGAAAAACGCAAAAATACTTTCCAAAAAAAAAAAAATCATTACTGCTGAACAAAAAAAACAAACAAACTAACTAATACGTGCATTCAATTTCCCAAGTATATTTTACAAAAAAAAAAAAAAAAAAAAAAAAAAAAAAAAAAAAAAGGCTGATTTTGCAGATGTCTCAAGAATTACGGTATTTTGACATATCATAGTGATGTACATCAATCCTGGACACAATTTTCTGCCCCGGAAGTTTTCTCCCTACAGTATTGTTAGTAATGTTGTTTGTCTCCCTCCGTGTGTGTGTGTGTGTGTGTAAATCTCTCTTTCCTTTCTCAAGTAAAAACTAGTATTCGTCAAAACAATATATCGACGACAATATATGCCGACCTTGACTGTACATATTGTCGCCGACGACAATATGTGCTGGTGCTTGACTGTACATTTTGTCGTCCATTATGCAGGAAGAAAATAAGGCTCGTTTCGGTACATATTGTCGCCGGCGACAATATGTACCGATGGACGACAATATGTGCAGTGAGGGTAGGTACATATTGTCGCCGACGACAATATGTACAAAACGACAATATGTACCGTCACAAGTTGGGTTGGGTTGGGTTACACTAGTAATCTGGCTCATAAAAGTACTTTTAAAAAATCGCGGAATAGCCGGTTACACCAAAAAATGAGCTATTTTGTTGCGGTGAAGGATTTTTCGAAGAAACGACGATTTGCGGTAAAATGGAACTAGTATAATAACCTCAGACTTATTCATTACTGGTAATTAACTTATTAACTTTAAGTCTTCAAATTGATATTTTTAGTGTACAGTACTTTTACAAAAAAAAAAAAAAAAAAAAATGGATGGCTTAACAAGAAGGTGCTTTTGCTGAAGGAATAATTTTTAATTTGTAAATAATTCTAAAAAAATTTCACTACCTTTCACTTGATTCTCTTTTGCTTCCTATTAAACAACAAATTAATACTAATTTTATATTTCAAATTGGAAACTAAAATTTTATTATCATCAAAATACACATACTTTTACAATACAGATATTTTCATTTCACCAACCTATAACAACAATCAAAATAACAAAACTTAGAAAACCCCAATACCTGTGACAACTTTTTTTTACATCAAAGAAGTTGGTTTAACACATCTGAGTTAAAGACGTAATACATGTATACACATGAGATTGCTGCATCATGTGTAAGCTTTCGGGGCTCTCTAGTTTCCAGAATTGTCCTTTAGAATGATGAACAAAGTGAAATTACCTTAGTGTTGATAAGTTTTCAATGGCAGCACAAATACAGTATGTAAAAACTTTAGACTAAACCTATAATATACAAAGTAAATGTACAATTTTTTAAAAGTCTTTTCAGAGGCAGAATTATATATTTCTACATGAAAATTAACTTGGTATTCTTTCGCACAGATTGATAAAATTATACATTTATGTACACATTTTAAAATCTTTAAACACATGCACACTTAATCCACCAAATAAAATAAATTAATAGATTTCACCTAAAAGTATTTAATGAGCCCCTTTCTTGAGATTTTCTTTAAAAAACAATATACATGTATATGGTTCATTCAAAAATACGTAGGCTTTTATCATATATTTTATTTTTTACCGGTATTTAACGTCAATTGTAACCAAATTTGGTAGACGTAAGAATAAATCCAAATAATCTGAATAAAGAAATTCAAATATGTCATGATATATATCAAAATTATCTTAAATTTATCACTGCAAAAAATTGGGCCACGAAGCACAGTCAAAACAATACAAGTCTATGGCCATATCTTTTATAACTGGCCCTAAAACAAAATAAAATTTAATGATAAATTTAGTATCGTTACATCATTTTTTATAAAAATGCCAAATTGTGATACAATATATTGCTTCTTTGAAAAAAAAAAATCAATTTCAGATGACAGGTAGTCTTTGTTGAAAAAAGACTAAACAAGTTGACATTGCAGGACATCATGAAGCAGCGAGAAGCAATACAATTTTGTTTTCCTTTTTGGAATCTCTAAAAATAAAAAAAAATTTAAAAAAAAAAAACGCAGGAGAACCTAGTCAGTAAAATATATATATAAAATAAAAATGAAACAGTTAACAAAATAATTTTGGCGATGGTCCTGTTTTAGCGCTTTTAGCTTTTTTGTCTGCCAATTAAGTACATGCTATATAATAAATGATTAAAATTAATACGTGTTGTTTGTAAGACTAAAGTGCGTTTACTTCATAATTGGGCTAATCAGTTGATAAAGAAGATTATGACTTCTAAATTTGATGTTCATTTACAGCAATCCAACTGAGGCTGTAAAAAAAATAGTCTATGAATTGCATTGCCATAATATATAAAGGGAAAAAATGAGATCTTTGCCCCAAGCTATTATTTTTCAACGCTTATCTCAAAGTCATATAACTAGCACAATGTTCCGTTACATATACACATACTTTCCTACAATTTAATGTTAGCCGGTTAACAACTTATGAGATATATTCTAAGTAAAACAGGGGATCCTATACTGCAAGCAGCCCCATCCTGATCTTATTTTTTTAATCATACCTTGCAGAAACAATTAAGTGTCAATTATGTGGAATTCATATTCAAGATGCATTTTGAGGCAACATAATTTTGCTACATTTAGGGAAAAGTATTATAAAAATTTCCATACAAGTATACACACCATGTATTTAGATTATGATAACTCAAAATACATGTAAATGGCACCCTGGATCAAAAAAAATTAATTTTCATATATGATATTGAATCAATTATATCACACAAACCATTTCTTGTGCAAGAAGATTTTGAATAATTTTCTTATATAAACATATCCATTTTAAACATCAGCCTCTAAAAAGGGACATAAATATTAAAAATAATAATGGTTAAAAAGGATTGAAGTATGGAATCACAAATCAAATAAACTCTGGACATACACTGTACCAGGATCAGAAAAAATACTGACTAAGCAATCGATTCAGGTGAGCAACAGAGTTATCCAGTATATAGAATTCATGGCTTCCAATAGGACCGTGAACTTGCTACACTTTCCACTGTGCAAGGTCTGTTTCTGGTGCTAGCAGGTCGCCTCCCCTGTCTTGAAGGTGGCCTTCCATCCAAAGAAAATGGTTCATTCACAGAGTTGGCATTAGCTTGAGTCATTTGCCTTGATGAAGAGAAGTCTTGAGGTGCCCAGTTTAGTACGGGAGGCTTCTTTTTCTTTTCTGCCCATGGGGCTTCAAATGATGGCTCTTCCAGTTTATGTCCAAAGAGAGTTTCATCAACAAAAGTAGGTTTGTGGTTGTGAAATCTATACCTCTGTGACTCACTTGAGTGATTGACACGAGGTTTAAAATTATGGTAATTACTAGGTTTTTGCTCTGTTGGGCTTGGAGCCCAGAGCAAAGGTGGGCCTCTCTTCTTCTCCTTTGGAGTTTTTGTTTGGAATGGGAATTTACTGCTTTGACTGTCATGTACTTGTGTAAAATTGTGAGATCTAAAGAGAGTCTCGTCCACTTCTGCTGTGTTGCTCACTTTGCGGTAGCCACTGCGAGGTCGACTTCCTGAGGAGGAAGGAGGCCGAGTTCCAGTGATGACAAAAGTGTCTGCCATCTTCCTTGTGTAGTATCTGGTAAGATTAAACAATATTATGAATGAAAAATTGTAATATTGTCAAGTAATCAAAATATGTCAAACTAGGAAAAAAGATATGTCTGGGTATGTTTTAATAATCTAAATTTTTGCATTGGTATACAAGGTACATGAGGTATGTGTAGCAGTTAGACATTTCAATACACTGTCTTATATTAATACTAGATCTTTTACAAATACATCATTTAAAAAAAACCACATGGATGTAGAGCCCTCTTAGTGAGCATAAGGAGGCTTACGGTTAGTTATTATATAAGATCTTTTACCAATGTACTGTTGAAAAAATTTCCACACGGATGTTGAGTATGCCTAGTAAGCATAGGTATGGCACGCCAAATTCACCAAAAATAGATAAACATAGTTTAACAGTTGATAATCTAGGTTTATCGATTGTAAACTATAGTTTACGAACTGTAAACTATAGTTAACGATTCGTTAACTGTAGTTTGCCTTTGTAAAACTATATTTAACGGTTGTATAGTGTAGTTTACGAATGTTAATCTATGTTTATCTGCCTGAAAATAAACGTTAACAATAGATTTTGCTGATAAATATAGATTCTCATATGTAAACTATAATTTGCATTCGTTAACCATAGTTAAGAGTTGTTAATCAAAGTTTTACAAATCGTGAAACTATATTTATCAGATAAAATATGTTTTACATTCGTTAACCATAGATTTCGGTCGTAAACTATAGTTAACTGTCATTTATACTCACAAACTATATTTAACAGACATAAACTATACTTATCGATCGTAAGTTATAGTTTTGAGAGCTAAACTATGATTCACATTTGCCAATCATAGTTTATCGTCATAAACTATAATTCACACTCGTAAACTATAGTTAAGAGTTGTTAAATATAGTTTATGAATCTAAACACCTGTTAACGATAGTTTTTTAATTCGAAATTTCGCGGCGCCAATCGCGAGAAGCAATAATGGGGTATAGGTTTTATCAGTGGGGAGAATATTATGGACACGTGTTCGGCATTATCTAAAGCAAAGACCGAGTTATATTATAATCAATATTACTTTCTCTATTTAAACAGGATTAATTGTATTTGTTTTAAAATGTCGTGTATATATACATTTCCTATGGGAAATTTTTAAAAATATGATAAAATTTTAATTTCTAAAAAGACAGAATATTACGAGATTTTTGCTCAAGCAGAGGAGGGTGAAGCGCGTTTTACAATGTGCCAAGCATTTTCCCGCCACATCTCATCACCAAAACAGAGGAAATGCAGTGGCGGATATAGATAGGGTTGTGGGGGTTTCAACGTCCTCCTTTGAATTTAAGAGAGAGAAAATGAGAGAGAAGTCCCAAATATTTGTTGTGTTTGTTCCGTAAAAGGCCACTTTTATTTATGTATGAAGAAAATTCGGTTGTCGAAAAATAAATTCCGCGCCTGCAATGTTACATGCACTGTGTTATTTCCTTATTTACAGATTAATATAAGATATACATGTGTTTTATTAATGACAGATCACGCATTCCGGTCTCTATTTTTCTCTTTTAAATTAAAAAAAAATAACATTTTAATCAATAATTTTCCTGTCATTTTTCTTTTTATTTCCAAATTTGCTTTAAAATAATAGAACATTTACTTTTAATGCCAACAAGAAATATACATGCATATATATTTAACAACAATCGTTGTTACATAGCAAAATCTTATAAGCTGTAACTAGGATTAGACGATCTATAATTTACAAAAAATAACTATTGTTAACCATAATTTTGATCGTAAACTATGGTTTAGAGTCGTGAAATCTAGTTTCACAGAAAATTGTGCATCTCCGATACAAAATAAGAGATTCTGTTCCTAAACTGTGTTTCTCAAGTGTAAAACTATGTTTATCGCATTTTTGTGAATTTGGCGCTTTGTATGTCTGTAAAGTATACTTTACAAAGCCTAAACTATAATTTACATTTGTTAAGTATAGTTTAGAGTTGTAAATCATAGTTTACAAATCGTGAAACTATATTTATCAGATAGACTATATTTTGCAGTAGCAAATGATTGTTTTCCGTGTTAATTATAGTTTACGCTTGTGAAACATAGATTATCGTGTAAACTATAGTTTACAGATGTGAAATATAGATTATCATCGTTAACTATAGTTTACGGTCCGTAAACTATAGTTTACAGTCGATAAACCTAGTTTATCAACTGTGAAACTATGATTAGCTCATTTTTGTGAATTTGGCGTGCCATACATAGGGAAGCTTAAAACTAGTTATTAATTTTTAATGAGATCTTTTAGATTTATTACTTTTTTAAAAGAATTATACAGATACATGTAATATATAATGTGGACTTTAAACTCCATGATAAACTATGTGTGGCCAGATTCTGGGCTAATTACTAAAAGTGACAAAATTCTTAAGGAATTCTTCCCAAATTAATTTAATGTCATATAATGTTACTTATAAATTAACAAGAAAATTAAACACTCAAAGATTACTACAGACTGCAGTTTAAAATCACTGTTAAAATAATTCATTTTATGCATGTTTGTTTGTTTGTTTGTTTGTTTGTTTTTTTTTTTTGGGGGGGGGGGGTCTTTTGTTTTTTATCTATACTGCTATTATGTATGTTCAAATGTAATAAATTTTAATTCATACATACATAACCCCAGCTGTCTTCAACAGTATCATGTAAAAAGTAACATTTCTTTTAATCACAAATGTAAATAAAAGCACAGTTTTTTCTTTATATTAGTTTGCTTAGGTCACACATGCGCACCAGCAAGTAATCTTCAGCGCTCTGAAGTTTTGTTGTAAATAGAAGAAGAAGAAGAAGAAAAAATACATAAAATCCAATAAAATCAGAGTAATAAAATTACTAAAATAAAAGACTAAAAAATCAAGGCAAACAGACTTTGGGCAAACAAGTTTTAGAGTGAACAGACTCTGGATGAACGAGAATTAGGCTGAAAGGCATGAAGGGCAAACACATTTTAGGGCAAACGAATATAGTCCAGTATACATATGTACACATTCCTTTGTGATGAACAAGTAGCAGATTGGGTGTCCATGCTCATCAGCAGCCAATCATGTTCTAAACATGTAGCTACTATTATTACAGTAGGATTAAATTTCCTAATGCAAGCATAACATGTGAATTACCTGATTGTTTCTAACAAGATGCATTCAAGTTTTAATCTACATAAGCAAGTGAACACAAAATGTTAAACACTACAAACATATAGCAGGCCAATCACAATCTCCAGACTAAGCTACTTAGCTATATATTTGTACAGTTGCTTTCATGAACTACAGAAAAATATTGCTTGATTGGTTTTATAGTATCAGTATGACCTGTATAACTTAAATAAGATCAGCTATATAGATGCAGTGTACAGAAATAGCTAAACAATGAATTAAATCAATTTTCCAGATTAATGTATAGCAATAATTAATTACTTTGATATGGAATCTTTTATCTGAAATCTAAAGTCTTGTCATTGCTGCTTGGCTGCATGTCAACAAAAGATCAGGGTTCATAAAACGCTTGCTATGTGTAAATGTAGACCCCGGCACTTTATTGTCTTTTGTTTCGCTTTTCTTAAGCAAGTCTTTATCTCCAAAAAATAAGTCAAAATATTTAAAAAGGTTTTTTTTGCATACTTTTCATATGAAAAATTTAAGCATTATGTACTATGGAAGTTATTTTTATCTTTAATAAATTTCGGGTAAGTAGTGGGTTCTTAAATTACACATACCATTTTCCCATGAAGCTTTGCGTGAGTGTGACTAAAATGGGTAGTAAAACCCGGGCCGGGCCGGGAATTTTGAAACTGAAAACCGGGTTTTTGCTAATAACTGAAAAAAATATTTAATTATTTATCATGAAACTTACAGATATAATTAAATACAACACAATATGCCTTCGCTGAGAGTTTCGACTCCAAATATTACTTTTTTCAGTGATTATCGACGATTGTCATTTTCCCAGTGACTAAAATGGGTAGTAAGCCCGGTTTATTCATTTTGGTGTTTTGTACTTAATATTATTGAAATAATTGCAGTTTTTTCTATTGGATGGATCGAAATGAACTTAAACTGTCAAAAAATTATAACCATTTTATAAATATTTACCAATTGTAGGAAATAAATGCATTTTTTGAATACCCGGGACCGACCAAAACCAGACACGTTTACCCGGGACGAACCTTAAATTTCCGAGATAATGATGAGAGTAAATATTCCTGAACCAAACCAACTGCGTAGAATTTATTAAATTTACTGGTAATATTTTCATGATCTTAATCTAACATGTTCCAAGCTAGCTCTGCAGACACATACATGTAATTTCGGGGAAATGATTACCTGAATACGAATCTAGCTGTAGCCTACACTCTTTCTCTTGTCAAATCATTAAGATACATAACTCTATTAGTATTTGGAAAAAAAAGAGTTGTCGGGAATTTTGTGTATATTTCATTTATTTTCTCCATTTGTTTATATATTTCATTTTTTTTTGGGGGGGGGGTTACTATTTAAAATAAATTCTACATTATTCTAAATACACCCGGTTATCTGATGGCAATTTTTCGGAATATTCCAGTTTGTCCCGGGCAAACGCGTCCGGTTTTGGACTGTCCCGGGTATCAAATATCGGCGATTATTTAATTATCGACATTAATTTTTGCAATTAACGTAATATTTAAGTTCTTAAAGTTAATAAACAACGATAAAACACAAAGAAATCCCATTTTTGAGTGTAATTAGCTTTAAATCACCAAAATGAATAAACCGGGCTTACTACCCATTTTAGTCACCGGGAAAATGACAATCGTCGATAATCAGTGAAAAAAGTCATATTTGGTGTCGAAACTCTCAGCGAAGGCATATTGTGTTGTATTTAATTATATCTGTAAGTTTCATGATAAATAATTAAGTATTTTTTCAGTTATTAGCAAAAACCCGGTTTTTAGTTTCAAAATTCCCGGCCCGGCCCGGATTTTACTACCCATTTTAGTCACACTCGCTTTGCGTGAATGATAAGAAAATGGCGTCGGGCATGTGTTGCAGGAAAGTCAAACTAAAGAGAAAGTGATGCCTTTGTTTTTTACCTTTGCTGTAGGGAAGTTATGTGAAACACGAATAGGTAGAGAAACACTTAAGAATTCAAGCTTCTTAGTTATATAAAACAATGATGGCATCGAGCCAGAATTGTTGAAACGTACAGAAAACGATTTTTCCCCGGTCACATGTGCACAAACGTACGAAGTTCGTTATAGGAGGTTATATATGTTGGGAAGAAAAATGTTTTACATATATTTTTTTTAATTTAGCAGGTCAACATGAACCTTTCAGAGTTCTGTCATGTATGTGCGGCGGATGGGAAATCCAATCGACTACGAGTGTATCAAATCAACTTTGATGAGGCTGTTCGATTTTGTGAGGATGACAAGGTAATATTATTTGGTTTCTAACTTGGTCCTTCGAGAAAAGTGAAAAAAATCTATGTAAATGTTAAAATGTTAAAGTGTTTTGTACTGTATGATGAAACCTTTACTATAAATGAAATGTTTTTAAAGAAGAAGAAGAAGAAGAAATCTTCTTGTCAAAAAAAAAAATTCTATTCTTATTTCCTTGACATCAGACAAGTGCTGTAAACAGTGTTTGCTTTTGCATTTGAATGTGATGTTATTTCGCCATACATGTGGTAATTTTAAGAGGCAAGTACTATACAGGAGTCTTCAACAGGTCCGACACAATCTCTTGATTTAGCTATATAGCTTGATTTAGCAATATAGCTCTATTAAGCTATTCTGAATAGCTTGATTTAGCTTTTTTATCACACTATTTTCTTAGATGTGCTATTTTCTCAGCATGCACAAAAATTCGCATCTTGTTGCAGTGATAATATTCAACCTTGAACTCTTGAGAAAAAATGCATGTAAAAATCACTCATCAAATTGCATCTCCTAAAGAGACTGTACACAAAGTTCAAAAAAAATTTCGGCTATATTAAAGCAATTGATACAGTTACTTCTGCAATGAAATTATAAAGGAGGCCAATTGTGGTCAACAAGATAATTGATAGGTAATAATTCAGTACAATGAGAAGCATTTATACTTATCCACACCTCAGTGCTCACAAGGAAGAGTAGTTACTCAAACAATGGAAATACATCTTTTGCTTAAAAGTATTCAAATGCTGCAATGTTAGAACTATCTTTGATTTCGGTTGTTGTTTGATAGCCCATAGCATATATATGAATAGTCAAATACTTTCGACTTTTTGTCTATTTCTTACAAAAAACATTTTTCTGAAAAAACTGCATATAAATAGCTTTATCAGGGTATGTTGAATAGCTTTATAAAGCTATATAGCTATAGAGCTAAATCAAGAGATTGTGCTGAACCTATTCAAATACTGAAATTTAGGTGAAAATACTGTACATTGTTCATCAAAAAACAGTACAAAATATCAACCAAAAATCAATGTAAAGGTTCATTTTTTATGAAACGAACAAGTTTACCACTGCATGCAGTGTTATATGTAATTACATGTAATCATTTCAAGAAATTTGTACAGGTTTTAGAATTTCAACAATCCCTATGGTCATTGGTTAATGTTGAATTTTGTAAAGAGACTTCCCATAGTACGGTGTTCATGTGAGATTCTAATCAATTCCAATCACCTGCATTTTTTTAATGATACTAAAAGCATTTCTCTATTCTGTGTTAGAATGGACAATAGCTATACCTAAGCAGAGCAAAAAAGTCATGGATTATTTAAAATTTGTGTTGTTGTCGCACAGTTGCTTTGATGCTTGTCATTTTCTCTTTGAAACATTGTTATACTGACAAAATTTTAACGAATAAAATTACAGTTTATAAAAAACCCTTATATAACAATATTCAGCCTAAGAAAAAGCTTTGATGAGTTTTATTTTCAAAGAATTTATCGCGGGTATGTTTCACACCTTCGATCATGAGAGCAAGAATTAAAGAAAAATGTCAGTTTTCTGTAAACAATTCAAAATACAGGACAAATTTTCATTTCTCGTTACTGCTGTGAGTCCATAAATGGGGTCATAAATATGTGACATTTTGTGTACAGCCAGCACATATCACATGTATGTTTCACGAAAGATTATGCTGAATGAAAAAAATTTGCCAGCAGCACTTTGTGCCACTTACTGTGAACACTATTATTGCTCTGTCAATCTACATTCTTAAGAATTTCTTATATTTTCAGTGTACCTACCCTGTCGGCCAGTCATCTCCAGAGAGTATAATTGTCAATAGGAAGTACACAGAAATATCACCAAGAAAAAGAACTCCTTCCCAAACACCACAGAGAGCGCAACCAGTCATTGCCAATAAGAAACATGGAGATGTCATTCCATGCTCAGCAAATGTAAGGAAAATACTCAGTTCTACAATCAAGCCTGCATGTTCTTCAGCTGTAGGAAAACCTCATACACCATATGTACCAGGAAAATTAGGAACAGTTAAATATGAGGAGCCGTTAACAAACAAAGGAGCACCCATTTGCCAGGAGGACAGGAGAATCAAAACAAAAACTCTCTTATTCCCACAGTGGCAGAATAAAGAAGCATTATGCTGGCTTGATGTAGTAATGTGTTTATTTGTTCATTGTAAAAAGCTGCAAGAATCTTTTCATGAAGCAGACAAATCTGTGCTCAATACACTATTCACTGCCTACAACCAGGCCTGCAGCATTCTTAATGCCTCACAGGAATTGATACCTTCTGGACGGAAGCTTTCTACCTGTTTAACAGACCGTAAAGTTCAACAAATGTCTGGACGTCCAGTTGCTGTACAGAAGTCCTCTGACATTGTAAACAAATTCCAACATCTCTCTGTAGTTGATAACGGAATAAAAACCGGTGCAGGGATGAAACTCAGTTCCGAGCTTGTTTCTGAATTTCATCCAGTTGAAGATAGATATCATAATGCATTTTCCATTTTACAAAATGTTCGAGAAACTGTCTTTCAAAAGCTTCAGCCGAGTTTGCAGTGTGAGAAGGGAAAAAATGATAGCCCTTTGTTTGCCATTCCTCTCCTGGTAAAGGGGGATTCTGATGCCGAAAAGATGATGATGATGAAGTATAGGTTTGATTTTCACTGCAGGGCTTGTGGGTATGAACAAAGTGACTGTTATGAACAGGTACTCCCAACTATTCCAAAACCTCCCGAGAACTTAGACTTGGCAGAACCAACCACTGAACGATCCTGCTTTAAATGCAGGGCACCCTGGCAGCAACGCAAAATGGTATTTGAAAAGTGAGTAACTGATTCTAGCTGTAAAGAGAGGTAACCCCTAAATTATATTGATTCATATAGAAGTATCTAGGCAATGGGGTGAATATTGCAAGTTGTTTTAGTACTATGATAATTTTGCCAATTTTATCCATCTTTTATTTAATTTAAATATGATTTATTGAACACATTGATATTCTACATGTATTGGATAATGTCATTAATGAGATATTGTGTCTTTCAGATTATCGGAGGTGGTTATTATTCACTTTGTCGAGGGACTGAAGAGTAACAACCTAGAGAAACTGTCTTTTTCCTTTGGAGGAAAACTGTACAAAGTGAGGGGTCTAATCCAGTACCTTAATAACCCAGATCATTTTGTTACCTGGATATATGACAGTCAAGGTAAATGTTTAATGCTTTAAATGAGTAATATAAAGGTGGTTCTATACACAGACCTTTAGATCGCTTTAATTTGATCGACTAAATGGGGGGAGGGTGTATAAAAAAAATAAAGGTGTGGAACTCCTCAGGTATGGTACCCACATTTGCCAATAAAATGCTAATAAATGATTGAAAATCCTACTTTCTATTCATATCAATTCACACATAAACAATCAACATTAGTACCAAAGCGTATTACAGATGTGGTGTACTTCCGGAGATATGTGGATATGTGGAAATTAATTCCAAACTATTGACTTGTTTTTCTTTACTTGAAATTAGCTTTGGCTAACTGAACTACTTGTTAAGATATTTTTAGAAAGATTTATAACGTTGAGAAACTGCATGTGCAAATGGTAAATAAATATATGTGTATACAAAAGTTTCATAGACAAAAAAATATATTAATTTTTTTTTCTTTTGAAGAGTGTACTTGGATGGAATGCGATGATTTAAAATCTCCAGTTTGTCATTTCCAAAAACGTCCCTTCAGGGTCCCAGCAGAACAAATTCACATCATCATGTGGGAAGGTTCTCCCCAGTTGGACACAGATAAGATACTTGGTACTAAAGCAAAACCGAGTAGGAAGCTTTCCAAACAACATCAGTCTGAGAATGGAGAAACACCAATGCCTGAGGAATGTAAGCAGAGATCTGGTAAGAGGTCAGTGACAGTCGGTATCACAGCCTCACAGAGAATGGGTGTAGAAGAGCCCGCAGATCCCAGCTCCAGTAGAAATACGGAAAAGTTTGTGTCTCCATCAGTGCTGAAACCAAACATGATGGTCAAATTGACTGACACAGGACAAATAGTTCAAGTGCCATCAGAAGTCAAAGGTCAAGAGCTACAGTCACCTGGTCAGTTGCCTGGTAACTTGTCTAGAAACAATTGCTATCCAGGAGAGAGTGGCAGTGAGATCTCTAATGTTCTTAACCAAGCTACCATGCAAAACCAAACTGAAAGGAAAACTTTTTCACCTGCTTTGTCCAATTCTACCAGTGTGTATACACCAGCCTTTCTGAAGTCGCTGATTCAAAGGAAATCCAAAAACTCTCTAGTCTTACAAGCAGAGAAGAGGACGGGGAAATCCATTTCTGCTGTACATGGTGCTAGTAATATATCTAAGCCCACTGGATCTAGTTGTTCAAACTTCAGAACTCCATTCATAGGAAAAAAGAAATTTGAGGGCTATTTTTCAACCAAGAATTTAAAGTCTGAAATGTCCCAAGCTTCTAGACTTGTGAGGAGTGCTAGTGTCTACTCCATGTCTGGAGATTCCTCGCGCCCCAACAGCCCAGCTCCAAGTTCCTACAGTGATACTTTCACAGTACAGAAGCGGAAGTCTAAGATGGTGGGAGAGGTGAATGCCAAGCGAAGGAAATCCATGTGCAGTGACTCAAGTATCAGCTCCCCAGAGTCATTACCTCAAAAAGAAATGATGGATGTGCAGGCTTCAGAGGGTTGTGATGTCCTTCAGAGTCTATACAGTGCTTTAAATCTTACCATGCCTGAAAGTTTAGAATTACCAAGAGGTGCATATAATGTTAAGGCATCTACCTTAGATTTCGATGATAATGAATTAATTCCTGACATTCAGGATCTAGCTGATTTTATTGCCACTCCGGAAAACGATGTTTCAACTAGTTTGGATGAGTTTTTGGCTCAGTTATGAATTTCTGTCTGAATTTTTGTATTTTTAATAGTGTTAAAAAGCAAAAGCAAAGGTTTTAGTATTCAAGATTTAGTTGATGTATTGTTTTCATTCATCATTTTTGATGTGCATTTAGGAACTTATTTTTCTCCTTCACTCAAATTTTTATAATAAGACACAATAGTTGAGAATGATGATACATGTATAATCATTATTTCAATTGCTTATACATTAATCATATCATAAATATGTCAATAATATAACAGAGTGATTGATCAGAGACCACAAATGTGTTCCAGCTTAAAAATCCTATACATATATTTTGTACCATTGTTTTTTTACAATTGTTATTTTTACATTTTGTTAAAATATTACATTATGTTTTCCAAAAACAAAACACAGTAGTTTTCTTTCACAGTTTTAGAAAAAAATATGGTTCAGAAATGAGATAAAGTAGAAATGTTTAAAGATTTATTTGCCTACATTTAATATGTAGCATACTAATTACTAGGTCAAATTATTGTCTGTCTTGATTGGCCCCCATGTAATATTGTCAGAATATTATGTGTTCAAGTCAAACATTTGATTAGCAAAAGGTATCTGAATCAAACTCTGTTATAGGGCAAATTATAGTCTGTCAAAATCACACATTTTTATTGGTCAAATCATTGTCTGTCAGAATCAAACTGTTATAGATGACAATTTTTTTGTCTCACTGCTTCATTTTTGAAAATCTAAATGTGGTTAAGGTCATTTTTGTATTGCTTGAGAAGGTCTACTTTGATATTGTCTGTCTGTTTGTATTAAGGTCAATTATTGTTAGAAATATTTTAATTAAGGTCATTTGCTTTCTCTAGAATTCACATGAGAGACATATTGATTCATGTTTTTTTTTCTTGTGGTGTAAATAGCCCCGGTTTAAAAAATATGGATTCAAATTTAAGTTCATCTGATTGACTGCGCTAAGAAACTTTGGATTTGTCTGTCATCTGGAATTCTGAATAACCCCCCAGAAAAATCACCACCAGAAACAGAAATTGGAAACTAGTTCTGTCGTCAGCAAGAGGTGTTTTATAGATGATGTCCGTCATCAACAAAAGGTGTTAAATGATGTCTGTTGTCAGCAAGAGGTGTTTTATAGATGATGTCCGTCATCAACAAAAGGTGTTAAATGATGTCTGTCATCCTACAAAAGGTGTTAAATGATGTCTGTTATCAACAAAAGGTGTTAAATGAGTCCGTCTTCAAGAAAAGGTGTTGAATGATGTCTGTCATCCACAAAAGGTGTTAAATGATGTCCGTCGTCGAGAAAAAGGGTCAAATAATGTCTGTCATCAAAAAATGGTCTGGATGACAATGTGGGAATGCCCAAACAAGGAACAAAAAAATGAGTGCAGAAGAGTTCGTCGTCATTAACTTGTAAACGGCCCCTATTTAGCTAAGAGCTCAAAAGAGCTCTACATCTGTCTACATTTACCTGTTCCGTATAATTGCATTACAAGTCTCGGTGTGTAAAACTTTGTAGTGCAATATTCAAAGTTTTAACAAAGGCAGTGGAATTCTTCAGTGAAATCGACGAAAGATTGTCTGTGTCTAACATTCAGTATGAAAGTCTGTCGTCTGCGGTAAAGGATGTAAGGATGGATTAAAAAACAAACGGATGTGTTGCATGTCCGACCTCTATTTGATGTTGAAATGGAGGTAAACCAAACTTGAGACATGGAAGAGATATAATTTATGTTCATTTCTTTGAATAATTTGTAATAATAAAGTTCAGTATTTGTTATTTGTAATTAGGTGACAAGACAAGAGTTGTTCCAAAATTACTAAAATTTTTAAAAAGGGATTTGAGCAAGTTAATAATTGTTGGGTAGGTCGTTTTTGGACTAGCGTATTTGACAAAGTATAATATTTTTTCTTTCATTTTTTGGGACATCATCTGAATTCTTACCCCCCCCCCCTTTTTGATGTTATTTTTGGGATGTCTCTGAAACAACAAATTTCAGTGCTTACAGTGTTCTTCACGGTTTTCAACTATTTTTAGCTCTTCTAACGCAAAGGCCCAAAGAGCTAATGCTATGGCCATTTGTGTGGTGTGCGTAAACTTTTTGGAAAATGGGCCATATCTCAAGAACCCCTCAGTCAATTTTTTTCAAATTTGTCACAGAGTATCCTTGGCCCAAGGGCTTTCATTTATTATATAACTAGAGATGTGTCCCTTAAACAAGGGGAGATAATTAGGGAATAAAAACAGAAGTAGTGGTTGTTAAAAATCTTAAGAACTACGGGGCAGATTATAACCAAACTTGTATACAAGGATGAGGATATGTTGTAGATTAAAATATGCACGGGGAATCGCCCTGGGTCAAAGGGCGTGGTCTCAAGGTCACTTCAAAGGTGACCAAAATTCCTGTTTTGTTTAATCTTAAATTTGGCCGACTTTAAGGCTAGGATCATCAAATCTTGTCAGTTGATCATCTTCGGGCCTCGTAACATGTTGAAAAGTAGGTCACGGTGACCTATTTTTTGAATTTTGCAGGTATTCATTTTCATTTTAATTTTGATTCATAACTTGGATAATTTGAAGCCTATGATCATCAAAACTTGTCAGTTTATGCATCATGAGACCTTGAAGTGTGTCAAATAAAAAGTAGGTTACCATGACATACTTCCTGAATTTATGGCTTATCATTTTCAAAACATTAAAGGTCATTATTTTAGAAACTAAGAGGTTTAGAATCATCTAACCTTGTAAGTTGATGCACCTAGGGGCCTTAAAACAGATTTACATCTAAAAAGAAAAGTAGGTCACAGTGACCTATTTTTGGAATTTTACTGGTATTCATTTTCATATTGTTTTAGGAGCATATATTGGACTTTTTGAAGCATAGGATCATGGAACTTGGTCAGTTGATGCATCCTGATTCCACAGAGTGTATCAACTAAAAAGTAGGTCACTGTGACCTACTTTTGCAACTTGATGGCTAAATTTAATTATTTTGGATACCAATTGGCTCTGAATTATCAAACTTTGTCAATTGTTGCCATGCTGATGTACTTTTTGAATTTCAAGGCTTTTTTCCTTATATATAGGTTACCACAAGGCTTAAAACAGATGAGATTATAGGTTGTACAATTTTCAGAAGAGCGATTCTGAGCCCTTGGGCCTCTTGTTAGCTTATGTGAGCTGCTTTCTTGGACACGTTTTGTCCAGTGTCCATCTGTCTTTAAACTTTTAACATAAACGACTTCTCAAGAACAACCGAGCCAGTTTCAACCATACTTGTTAAACAAAGCACATTTTGGTGAGGGGGATTCATGTTTCTTCAAATGAGAGGGAGGAGGGAGGCAGTAGGAGTTTTACATGGTAATATATAAGAAAATATCGTAAAAATTTTCTACAGACGAGCGGGATGTTCGCTTCGTGATCGGGAGTCCCAGGTTCGTCTCTCGTATGCCACGCTGCGTCAAACCTAAGACGTAAACATAGGTACTGACTGTTCCTTCACAAAGCGACCGGCATTAGAAGTGAAAGTCACGGGTCTTTCAGATGAGACCTTAAAAATCGAGGTCCCGTGTCACGGTAGGCGTTGGATCGATAAAGAACCCTCACTGCTCAATGGCTCTGAGTGCCGAGTATGGTCTGAATTTGAAGCCCTATATACTGACGTCTCTGAGTGAAAATTCTCAAATGAGACGTAAAACAACATAAAATCAATCAATCAGACGAACAGCTGGACCATGATAAGTACCATTCATATGTTGTGTAGGTTTAAGATGGTTCAAACCATGACCCCCAGAGTTAAGGCTGCAATAGGGAATCGAAGTTTTAAGGGGGGGGGGGGATTGGACTAGGAACAACTGGCCCATGATTAGTCATTTTAATATAGAAATATCCTCAGGTAGTATATACAGGTATTTAAAAGTTTGTTCAAAGCAGTCCCAGATGGGAATGAAGGGACCTCAAAAGGATATCGAAGCACTGAAATACATGATTTTTTTTTTTTTTTTTGAAAATCCTCCTCTGAAGTAGCTGCAGAACTGTAGCGTTATGGTTTTATACATGTATTTTAGTCCTGTGTTTGACCATAACGCTACAGATCCCGTGATGTAAATAAAGTGCAATTTACGGAGCAAGATTTTCTTCGCACTTTGGGGATGTATTTCGCCACTTTCCAGCATTGGTCAATCAACGACCTTTCATCCCTTAATTCTAAACATACTCTACATATAAACAACCTGAATATTTTATTCACCTCCTAACCCTTTATAGTCGTCTCTACAGACCAATAAACCTGTTACGCCATCCGACAACAAATTTGCATAGCGAGTTTATTGGTCCACCCTGACCCTTCGCGTTCTACGGGCCTGAGGAAAAATATTTTATATAAGATATTTATTGGAAAAAGTCCTCAATAAGCCAATGATGTCTTATTAGCGTGCCAGAAGCTTCAGGTTAATATGCAGATTAAAATTGTTCAAATTGTGGCCCCAAGATATAAGGGAGGGAGGGGAATAAAGGCAATATGAATAGATGTAAGTTTTACTTGGCATTTTTTTTAAGGAAAAAAAAATCAGCAGGCCATTGGTTTATATAATCAAGATCAAAAGTCCATTGGAACAATACAAATTAGGAGTAGAACAAACACATACCTCTAAAATCATTGGAGGTGGGATCAGGTGCCACGGAGTAGTAAGCACCCCCCTGTCGATCGATCATACCTGCCATGTGCCCCTTGTCATTATCGGGCAAACAGAAAAATCAAGACAATTCAGTGTGAAAATAATACCCCTAAATATTTGTATGAAAAAAGTCGGTCAACATTCGACCTAATGATAGATTGTATTTGCTAACAAGAAAATTGATTTGACCATAGGATTTCTAAAATGTTGACTTTAAACAAGACTGTTGATATCCTTGCATCGTCAAGTTATTTGTCGATAGCTTGCCTCGTTTTAGAATTTGTTCGTACGGAGAGCATGCTCTTGCTTAGCGAATCTCACTACATCATTTAGAGACGTTGAACGTAGAAAAATCGATAGAAAAATTGGAAGTCATCACGTTTATTATAGTTTTGTTGTAGGTTGCCATTAATAAAAAAATCTATTGTCAAGTATATAAACGCAGTTTTACACATTTGACATTTTGTGGCCTCGATGAGGAACAAAAGATTTACATAGAAAATTGATTTATGATAAAATCTTTTGGCATTTAATTCTCTTTTAAAACAAATTAAAATACAAAGCTACAAATCGTAAAAGCTATTCAATACATCCTTCTTCGAACAGAGGATTTGTATTTTGATGTGGGGATGTACATGTATAGACATAGGTGGGGAAGTCCTTGAAGATATCGTCAGTACTTCCTAGAATTCTAGACAACCACAATCCCTTGTGCTGATCGATAACTGTGGACAAGACATATACATGTGGTCAAGATTTCGTTCCTTGTTGAGAATTCCTTAAGAGATGTGTTAGATAGTTAAAAGGCGGTATAAAAATCATCCACTGAATCGTCGAAGAAAAAAAAGAGATAAGCTATATGATCAATCAATATAGTTTCAGCGGACAAGGCTTGGGACAATATAGTCTTCGTTTGTAAGGATGAAATACTTCAAAATCACGTTTCAGTGTATAAACTTTTAACATTCCAGTCAGCCAAGGTGACGTCGATCTACTCTAACTATACTGGATTGCTAAACGTCCGAAAAAGTAAAAATCCTTACAAAGATATGTTGTCGGGTCCAGCAAATGCTCTACCAAGCCCCTATCTTTACTCTTCACAAAAAATTAACTGCAGTATTAAAAGGAGAAACTTGAGTCGCACTCTACTAGAAGTTAACGTATTGTAGAAGTGGTGTAAATCAGATGTTGATTCTCAAAAACTGCAAAGAACTTTCAGAAAATTTAAAATAACCATTTTTTTTTTCAAAAGCAACATCATTTGAATATAAATATAATATAATTATATGCTTGATCAATTTGATAATAACAAAAACTATCTCCAGATGTACCATATTTTAGTAATGGTGATTGCTCTATGACTATTTTGGCGCCTGATTTAGTCAGGATTACCGGTGTGTAATCCAAGGTCAAATTCATGATTATAATTAATCCAGTGGGTCTGTGGGAGTGGTTCTATTGACAAAGTTACAGTACACACCGGACGTGTGTACTCTGTTAGGGTTAAAATTTAAACGTGGGTGGGCTTTAAAATTAAGTATCTTGTTCAATTTGAATGCTATTTGTTTACATAGGATGGCAGAAACAGACGCGATCAGTTTACAACCTTATGAAACTGGTAATTAGTATACTCAAAGTATTGGGAATAATTTTTTATAATGAAATTTAAATTGTTTTATGTCAATTACTCTCCAAAAATTTTAATATAAAAAAAAATGTTACTTGTATATTGAGTATTAATTCTCAAGATATATTCTTTGATGTGAAATTATAGTGATAGATTAACACTGAATTTCAAAAAAATGTTCTAGAGAAAAAGCTTCCAAGTAATTGAAATGTCATAGAAATGTAACAGATAATCATAATAGTAAATCAAAGTTTCATAAAAATCATAGTATTTAAGGAAGTACAATATATTTTTAATAAAGAGTTTGTCATTATAAACCTTCGTTAAGTAAGGTAGATTATGTGAATGTCGACCCCCCCCCCCCCTTTCCTCGTTTGTTTAACCTAGCGGTAACATATAGTGTCTGACACAGTGAGTTGTCAGCATCAGACTGATCACGTGATGCCTTACCTTTCCGCCTTTTCAGCCTCTGTTTCACTAAGTAATCCCCATAATTTGAATTTCTCATAAATACTAGCTCTAACATTGCCAACCGGGGCTTTATCGTTGTCTTTGTCACTTGTCAACCAAGACAAACGCTCGCTGCTTCTTCCCGCCATTATGTCATACCGAAGTACAAGTGTAATCCATCCTTAACTGGCAAACTTGTAATATTTTGTTAAGGGAGTAGACTTTCGTAAAGTGTTAATTTGTAAACATAATCATATTAATCTTAAGCTGGTTTGGTATTTAATGAAGTAGAGCTTGATTGCACCACAGAGACAGGACAAGGACAACGGATTAAATGTCTCAATCAGCCGATATTAATCTTACACTGCAGTGTAATCACCCAGAATTTACTACTTATAACTCGTCATTATTAACCCCTCTTCTAATTTTATCTTACATGCTCAGGGTAATGGTTTAGGGATTATGGAACTGTTCCCACTGTTGATGAACAAAATAATTGCATAAATACAAATTCGTCCAAGTCAGCTGTTGATAATATTTCATTAAATTTCGAATTAAAAAATATTTGAACAGAAATGCCTTAGCAAGTGTTCATTGTATTACAAATGGCCAAGTTAACTAGTAAACAAAACAGCTAGTGGTGTCTTTTTGTACATCCATATCACAGAATTTTGGAATTATAGAATCAGACAGTGGTCTCTCTTTCTTATCCTTATAATCTGAATGACCTTGAATCGACCATCATCTTCACTTGCATTTACGTCAAATTTTTATTCATCTTAATCGATATTCTTGCTTTTAAAATCAATATTTCACTCTGTAAATGTACATTAGATCAGATTAAAAGACTGTGTACAGAAAAGATTGTGTTTCTGAAAGCAATAAACCGAGATTTTGTTTCTATTTAACTGTGTGCCTTTCTACTTTTCATTTTTAATTCGTGTTTACCCACCAGGCAGGCGTAGACGACTGTTCAGTTTTAAATTTTCACTTCTTGACAAAGTTTGCTTTTGGATGCGATACGTTCGTTCAAAATTTCTATTTCTATTCAAGGTAAACAACGTGCAGATTAGGTCTATGGTTGTAGAAAACCTGTCATTGAATTGAACTTCACGAAATAGAAACATGGAACATATATCATGTGTAATCTTCAGAACAGTGTTGTTGCTGTCATTTCTTGGGTGCACAGAATCCTGGTCCAGGACACAGTTATTCCAGGATGTTGTCAACAAAATGGATCCAGACATTGCTCCATTTGAATCTGCAGAAACAAATATCGGTGTAACGATAACCTTAAATTTGATGGAAATTTCAGAAGTCGACGAAAAACAGCAAACTGTCAAAGGATCGTACTGGATTGTGTTAACCTGGACAGACTGGCGTCTAAGATGGGACCCAAGCTCCTATATGAATATCAGCGCAGTTCAAGTGAAAGCCGAAAAGATCTGGTCACCGACTTCCATTTGTATCTTTAATGAATTAGGAAATGAGAAGTGTTTTAATGCCGATAAAGATCCAGTTACAGTGCATTCAGCAGGATACGTTTCCTATATGAAATACATGGAGAGTGTATCCCAGTGTGTAATAGATGTCACTAAGTATCCTTTTGATTCTCACTTCTGTGGCCTTTATTTTGGAAATATTAATTCCAACACTGAGTATATCAATTTTGAATCGAAATATTCTAGCTTCCTTCTTCAGTATCTTCAACCAAATGAAGTTTGGGGTGTCCGTAACACCTCACTTTTAATATACGAATATGAGGATTCTCTGACCAAAAGAATTGAGAAACAATTACATTTTAACATACTTTTGGAGAGAAAGTCGTTTTATGTCGTAATTTCGACATTGATACCCGTGATTATTTTATCAGTGCTAAATTTGCTTTCTTTCGTGGTACCTATTGATTCTGGAGAAAAGATGGGATTCTGCATGGCTATATTCCTAACCTTTGCAGTATTTCTGACCATAATTAACGATACCATGCCAAAATCTTCAGACAAAATTCCTTTTTTTACCATATATTTAATAACCCAACTCGTCATAAGTGCATTGACTGTTGTATTCGAAGTCTTTGTGTTGTTGGTACACTTCCATTTTTCGCAAAGTAAAGAAAAATCATCAAAGAGGGATGAGGAAGAGATTTCCAAGAGAAGATGTCACTGTACTGCAGTACAGTTGGATATAATTTTCTTTTTGTTTGTTTTAGCTTGCAATATATTTTCTTCGCTTTTCTATGGCATTAATGTAATGTGAATCCCAATCTCTCCCACAATGTAAAATTAATTTCCTTAACTATTAAATCTGAGGCCTACTGTACATCTTTGCGTAATTATAGTGTTGATTTGAAAAATACACTTTTTTCACATTGTAGAGATTTTCAGTTTATTCACTCTACAAATGAATAGAATATATACATAAAGATTCTTTTGATGAGATCAATATTTAGTAAACGATGTGAAAATACATCCCGTTTCTTGTGATGGTTTATAATGCAATCATCTTTTATCATAAGTCGGCATATACAATTTTAATAACTCAAACACTGGTAGAAGACAAAGGACCAGAGATGTCTCTTCTGAGTGAAATATGGAAATGTACTGCCCTTTAATATTAAATAGATCTATTTAGATCAAGATGAAATTGTTTTTATTGGTGAGTTTTGTTAGTCACAGGCACTCCTTTTAGTAAATAAAATATTTGCTTGTTCATTTAGTGCCTCCCTCCATCACATTTATTCATGTGAACATTATTTTAGATGTTCAATACATCTGCAAGATTGTTTTGCAAATTTAGAAACATCACTATAATGATGTTTTTGCTTTTTATATACTTCAGATATACCCAACTGTGTGACACTTAATTTTTCTGTTATCATTTCTGTTTTTCTTACATCAGACATTCACGTGAATGTAACCGGTTCTTGTAGGGATTTCTGACAACTGCAAGACGGTATATATAGGGTTGGATTATATTGTTATATTTCTTAGAGATAGTTGAATTGGAAGATGATACTATTTAAGAAGATATTTATCTTTTCAACCCTAAAATAACAATAACATCATATAGGTACACAGACAAACATACAAACAAACACGTGCGCTTAACAATACAAAAAAATCACAATTTTAAACACGTAAATCTTTCATTTAGGCCATTGCTTTACATTTCATACAAAAGCATTCAAAGGGTATTAAGTCTATAAAACATTCACGTCAGACTAAAATGGAATTGTGTACGACACAGGGAAATGAAACTGATCATTTTATTGACAAATAAGATATAAATAAATGTAAAAGCACAATGTTTTTGATGTACTGAAAAGATGCCAATTTAATAAAAATTACATTACTTACATTTCTCTCTTTATTAACGATTTCGCTGAAAAATGTTTACCAGAGGAAAAAACTTATGAGAAATATTCACTTAATTTTGGGCTTTCCGATCTCCTCTAGGAGCTGGGTGAATTAAAAAAAATGACCAAACGCATATTTATCAACCCACACTAAAAATACAGGCAATGAAAATAGATTTCTATGTCTCAGCATATGTCTTTAGATAGTGTCTAAATACCTGCCAAATATCTCGTTGATATCTCAATTAACAAAAAAGTTATGCCCAAAAATGAGGCTAAAATTGTCAGGAGTGCAACACCTTTTTGTGACATTTTGAAATTTCAACATTTTTTAGAGATCTGTGAAATAAAAAATAATGCTTCATGTTGAAAATAAAGTCTTTCCTGATAATATTCAAAGTACTGAGCTTTAAATGTGGACTGTCATAACTTCTGTTTAATCAAGTTGTGGTCATGGCTGATGTTTAAAAAAATGTTATACCATGTCAGGAGTGCAACAGAAAAAATGTAGTGTTGCCAAAAAAACATCAATTGTAAAATTCTGAAAGAAAATTAAGACAAAAAAGAATTTTCGAAGTGTAAAACAATAACTGATATACATTTTAAAACTTAAAAATGTTATATAAATCACAAGCAGCATTAATGAGAGTCAAGTATATGTGCATACCCAAAAATGTCAGGAGTGCAACATTTGATGTTTTGCTCCCAAGTATGAAAAAATTATTATCATTATTTGATTTTCTGATTTTTATTTTGGAAAATGAAGACACAAAGAACATTTTTACCAAATAGATTTATCAATTACAGGATCTGTCTGTGCTTCAGATCTATATTTCTATGGTCAGGAGTGCAACACATTTTTTTAAAGATTCAATTTGTGTGACGAAAAGACTTCTATTCATGCTTAGAAGTATTCATTAATTAATAATGTTCTTTTTGTATAATTTAATACTAAATTATTGACAGTTTTATTATTAAAATCCTTCTTTTTTCAATTTTATCAATTCAGATGTGTTATTATCTTTTTTGTGATTTTTTTTAATGAACGTTAAAAATAAACACACTAAAACATTGTCATAAAATTCAAGTAATTCCTCCTCAACTTCACTGAAACAACAGAGCAAGTTCTTATGTAATTTTCACTTCACAATTCTACTTTAAAGACCCCAATGCTTTTGGTCAGGAGTGCAACAAACATGTTAGAATTATAATTCATCCAATAAGAATAAAAATAAAGAAAAAATGATGAGTAGAATTTTTCTGGTGCGTTACAGTGTTTGTCCTCTAAAGGAAAATATGCTATAAAATATATTTTATCTTCTAAATATACATTTAAGCTAGTTTTTTTTGGCATAAAATGGGGTATAATTCCAGATAAAATGCGAATTTTAAATACTTTCATCTGTTTTAATTATGAAGTATTAGACTATAAGTATTGGACAATTTCATTACCATTTGATGTTGCCAACACTTCATGAATTTTTGTGTTCTATGGTTTTAATTTTAAACTTTACTGCAGTCAGGAGTGCAACAAAACTGCTTCATAATTACCGATGCTTTTTAACTATCTTTACTAAAAAATAAGTTGGAAAAAATGCTTGATACTATCTGATGTTCAAAACACTATGTCTATCAACAAATTACAGAAATTTTACAGTCAATTCAGGGAATAGTTTTCATCATTTCACATATATTTTAAATACAATTTATATATATTACACTTTGCAAATAATCATGTTTTAAGGTCTTCAAAATATGAAAAACCTGCTGTAAACGATGAAAAATACCAACACGACAAATTGATTTACAAAGTAAGAATGGGTTATTGTGTGTTATGATTTTTAAAACAATGTTAAATAAAATACATATCAGATGTCAGGAGTGCAACACAATAATGTAACATAGGGTCACTTCAAAATCTAGTATTTTTTGTAAGAGAACTCGTATATAACAATTCTTTTTTAGCTTAGATTTAAAGAATTGGCTTGAACGGACAAAAAAGTGAATTTTAGGGAATTTTATTGCTTCATATTTTTTTCATATTAAAACTTTTCAAACCAGAATTGAAAAAATAATGTAAAAAAAAACAAAAATTTTTTGTCACATGTACAAGAGAAGATACTCATTCAAGGTCTAGATTTAATCATTTATACCCCTTCTACCATTTTGAAGCATAAAAAACTATAATTTCTTGTGATTATGTATTTTAGAAAGTCTTTTAAGGTGTAATGATATTTTCTTTTTTCAAAAGAAATTTTACTAATAAAAATTCTGAAACTTTTTAATGCAATTGTCTATTCTATTGCCACTTCAGGATTTTAAACTAGAATGCATTTGCAATTTGATGATAAAAGTGAAAAATATGTTACAGGTAGTTGAATTTTGCCAAAAAAATTCAGTTTGGTGGTCATTTTTTTTTTAATTCACCCAGCTGCTAATTCAAAAATTGATTTTAATTTGCATCAAATATTGATAAAAATTAAAATGTTTGCAAAAACAGAACGTATATAGCTGTTGTAAATTCTTAAAAATAATTTAATTATCAAAAGAATGAAAATGTAGACATATATCCTTTCCATTACATTTGTTGAAAACACAGTAAAGCGTACGCAGCTTAATTCATTTGATTGCAAATGTACTTTGAAAACAGTCAGATATTTTCATTATCATTAACCAACGTTTAAGACCTTCAGGTTGATTATCACATTTCGCAATACAACTGTTTACTCTTTTTCACGATGTTTTCCCGGTTTAATATTGGTGACAGCAACAAGGTTATTTGTCAGTACATCAGTGGTACATTATCTAAATGGTTAGGAAGTGTTCATTGAAAAGGAGTATTCTCTACAATATATAAAAGGCTTTTTTGTAATTGCTTAAACCAAATATCAATCTGAAACGAAATACAAAACGCTTAATTGCATTGATCAAGCTATACTAACTTTTGGGAGTTTTCCGTAAGCTTGAACATTGAAATGAACACGATGTTTTAGTCTAATTGTCAGAACTCCTTTTCAGCTTTATATAGGCCTTATGTTATTCAGGATTACACGTTTCCAATCTACAAACACAAGGGAGGAGGTCAAAATAATAGTTTCCATGTCAAAAAATAAATAACAGAGGAGGGAATCCCTTTTATATGTAATAAGCTCTTAATGGTTAGGTTAGTGCTAGAAATGGAATCCGAGTTTATTCAAAGATATTTTAGTAGAAAACCAATATAATATGGACAACTTCCACTACATTTTCAATGAGAAACAATAAGAAATGTATAAGGGAGATGAGTTACAAAGTTACTTTTTATAGACATACGTCTCCTTTCATTTTTACGTAATAGGTTCTGGTGTTTGAAGGGCCGGAGGGATGGGGCCCTTTGTTATGCTAATATTTTAGTAAATAATTATTAAGTTATCTTCTTGGAGATTTAGCTATCAAACTACAAGAAGTCAAATTTATTTACAAAGAATATCTTCAAAGGTTTCCAGGTGTCTATATTATGCTCAAAGGGCAGAATATAGTTGGTCAACATGGGCGGCGGATGGCTATTTTGGCATAATATAAAAATCGATATCTGGATTGAGACAAGGTTACAGATCGTCAGGTTTATCTGCAGGAAGATAGAATATTATACAAGCCACAGGAAAAAGATATTCCTTGATCCTTTTTATTTATTTATTTATTTATTTTTTTTTACGTAAAATTGCCTTTTCTTTTCGAAATCATATGATACTGCGATTTCATTGCAATCCATTCAAATCCTACTGAAATATCAAATGTATATTTGAAATTGGTAATAGATAATTCCTCAATGAAACAGATAAAATTGTTATATCAGGACAAGACAGAGTTTAAATTTACGTTCATTTTTTTTTTTTTTACATTTCTTGGGAGTTCCATTATTTATGCATACTTTCTGATTGATTATGAAATATAGTATGATTATTCTAACTCTTACACAATTAGATTTAAATATCCTTTCAATAGACATAAGTCAATTTTGTAATTATATTACAAAAATTCAGAATCAGCTTTCTTAGTTTAAATCCGGTGCTATTTTTAGATAATGTGTATTTTGAAATTGTTTGTATTTACGCTTCTCCAGGCAGTGACTCATTTTATGAGAATAAACAAATTTCATAATTTTAAATTTCTGTTTTATTAGAAGACTTTTGATCGTAATGTGATAACTTACAGACATAATCATATTCATCTAAAGCTAAGTAGGCATTAAATGGGATAGAGAAAGAGACATAGAACAATTAAGTGCCCTTATTAAATATATGAAATAAATAATATTGTCCACATAATATAATTTGACCAGGCGTAACGTGATGAACTTTTGATTGATAAGAACAGATCCAAAGTGTAGGGTTGGCTGCAAGTATAAAACGTTTTGTTCCTTTATGAACCTTGTAGTCTCAATTCGAGTTAAAATTATTTGTATCATTTAATTGGACATGCTTTAATTTTGTGAGTAGAAAACTTATTAGCATGTGAAAGATTATTGGTCTCTGGCCACAAAATAAGACAGAGTAGACCCCGTGGTTAAGTTCTTTGTGGAACATTTATAGACCCTCGTGATTCGACTAATTTTAAAATATGCCCATTATCAGTGCAAATACCCTGGTTTACCTTTGCATTATACATTCAGCTGAGAAACAGATTTATTGATGTTCGCGCTTTTCTGTATCAATATTTAATTATGTTAATGGATGTTAGTTCAGATTGAAAGACTGTGTACAGAAATTATTATTCTACTCAAAATTTTGCTAATCTATTTAATAAAACATAAATACAGATTTTGTTTCTCTTTAACTCTGCTCCATGTCGTTCGACCATCCCTTTTAAATCTGTGTTTACCGAATAAGAAAGCGTGTCTATTTTCAATTGACGGTGATTTTTTTTTAGACATCTTTTGTAACTATAATCTGCTTGTGAAATACCGTCACTGAATACAGAGTGTCAAAAATCCTGCATTTGGGATTATTTCGAAATGTCCATTTTTTGACCGAATTGAATTATATATAAATCAGTAAAAAAAAACTTGCTCCCATTTTAGGCAACTGCAATCGAAAACATCACAACCATGGCACCATTAGGATTGTTAAGAATCGTGTTGCTTTTAACATTTCTTGGTTCCACAGAATCCTTGTCTAGGACGGAGTTATTCACGGATGTTATAAACAAAATGGACCCTGACATAGCCCCATTTGAATCTGCCGATACATTTATTTCTGTGACAATAACTCTAAATCTGCTAGGTATATCAGAAGTCAACGAAAAACAGCAAACTGTGAGAGGATCGTACTGGATTGTGTTAACCTGGACGGACTGGCGACTAAGATGGGATCCTGAATCTTACAGGAATATCAGCGCGGTTCAAGTGAAAGCCGACAAGATCTGGTCTCCAACTTCCATTTGTATCTTTAATGAAATAGGAAACGACAAGTGTTTTAATGCCGATAAAGATCCAGTTACAGTGCATTCATTAGGATACGTTTCCTACATGAAATACACGGAGAGCGTCTCCCAGTGTACAATAGATGTCACTAAATATCCTTTTGATTCTCACTACTGTGGTATGTCGTTCGGAAATATTAATTCCAACATTGAATACCTGAATTTTGATTCGAAGTATTCTAGCTTCCTTCTTCAGTATCTTCAGCCAAACGAAGTCTGGAATGTCCGGAATACAACACTTCTTGTATACAAGTATGAGGATTCAGTAACTGAAACCATCTCACAACAATTACATTTCTACATATTATTGGAGAGGAAGTCGTTTTATGTCATCATTTCTACATTGTTACCCGTGATTATTTTATCAGTGCTTAATATGTTTTGTTTTGTTGTGCCTATTGACTCTGGAGAGAAAATGGGGTTCAGCATGGCCATATTTCTTACTTTTGCAGTATTTCTGACAATAATTAACGACTCCATGCCGAAATCATCCGAAAAAGTTCCCTTTTTCACAATTTATTTAATAACTCAACTCGTCATCAGTGGATTGACTGTAGTGTTGGAATCTATTGTTCTCTTGGTCCACTTCCACTTTTGTACAAGAACAAAAGAACAGCTAGAGGGAGACGAAAAAGTGATCACTAAAAAGAAATGTCATTTAACTGGGACACATTTAGACATCATATTCTTCTTGTTTGTCTTAGGTTGCAATATATTTTCCATACTTTTCTATATTTTAAATGTGATTTGAAATTTTTCCATCAAGAAATAGTTTTGCCTAATCCTTTCTCACAGCCAGGATATTTTCCCGCATTGCCAGTACAGTAAATTGTACTGTTTTTTACATTAAAATATGAGGAACGTATATTTTGTCATCATTTATCACAAGATGGTAAAAGATTATTTGTATGTTAGGAATCTAGGATACAAAACACTCTCTTTAAACATAAAAGTGTCCACACTGAACAAAAGACGAAAGAGAAAATGTTTGCTTATGACTTTAAATGTTTCAAAAGGTAGTTTGTAGAAATTATGTAAAATGTTCATTATGCAGTAAATCGACCGAGAAAAAGGGATTGATTAAAGGAAATCAAAGATGGTAAAACCATACACTTTCATTTAGCCTTTTTGGGAGTATTTTATATAACCGTCTGGACAGTTTTGCTCAACATTAAGACATTGAGCACTGCATATTTTTGGACTACAAAGAATAACAGTTACTTAACATAGATTGTAAAATGTATCAACTGCAAAGAGCTAAAACAGAGCATATGACAATCGCCCCTTTGCAAATACATACACTTACAAAATATAAATATCTTTAATATAATAAAATTATGGATTTAATGAAATTAACATTATTTGTCAAATGTGAATGTTTCATACCTTGTTGGATCTTGATATATGTCAAATGATATTATCTTTAACTATTGCTATAATATTCATCACAGGTCGATGACATTATTTGAAACAAAGAATATAGTTTATTTTAAATTAGTAAATATTAGTATGTTATTTGGAGGTTGTCAATAGAGCAAGTACATGCCTTGTTGGCATTACATTTACTTTATGCACCCATAAATAGTAAGGCCCCATAAAACTTTCATATATTAAAAGAGAACTTTAATCATAGCAGTCTTCCGTTACTTTACTATTTGAACTTCTCCAGAAATAACTGGTTCAATTGCAACCAAACTTTATAATCTTGGTTGACGAAAATTCAATTTGCACAAATGTTAAATTTAAAAAGAACTTGCTCACTCTCCCCTGATTTGGTGAATTTTTGCTTTGTTTTCAATACCAAATTATAAAATTTAGACATTTATAAAGGAGAAATAAAACTCTCCTTGATTTGAACATGAACCTAACTTTGTGGTACTGTGGAATCACTTATTTTAGTTAGGAGTTTATGTTCGTTCTTTTCGTGATATGAAGTGACCTACAAATTCATGTCTTCCACGCAATATCCAGGGTTTTCATTATAAAATAATGAAATTCTTTTTCAACTACGAATTCAAATCCCTACCAACCAATATATTTTCCTCTAATCACGAGAATTCAACCCCACGAAAACAAGTGATTTTACAGCTCAAATCAACCATTTATTGTAAAAATACAGTTAGTTTTTTGATTTTTGATGTAGTTATAAGCAATTCAAATCAAGGAATCTCTTTAATAACCCTCTTATGACTAAATAATTACATAAACTTCATATTATAGAAGTATCCAATTTAGAATCATTCTCTCTACGACAGATATGCTTTTATAACTCTTTTGGATTATAAATAACATAGTCATTAAATAACATTCTGGGACTTAGGAGTGATGTTTTTACCACTTTGCAATATTAGTTACCGATTTGATATTGATGACAGCCACTTGGACAAGTACATGGGTAGTAGCCAATACAACAACGGTAAATTATATTTTGATATTGAAATAAACGGGTATGAAGTATTGGAAGACGTTCTACAATATAAAAGGCTATTTTAACTGGCGATGTCAAATACCAATCTGAAATAGAAAACAAAAAAAGGAATACCTACATTGATCAACCTAATATAACGTGTGTTTTCGTTTTGTTTGTTTGTTTATTGTTTAACGTCACTCTCGAGAATTTTTCACTCATATGGAGACGCCACCACTTGCCGGTGGAGAGCTGCAAATTTTGACGTATACTCGGCACTTAAGGTCACTGAGCAGTGAGGGATCCTTTTTGTGCCAGCACCTACTGCGACACGGGGCTTCGGTTTATACGGTCTCATCCGAAGGACCGGTCTCCACGTCCCACAGTGGGATTCGAACCCGCGACGTAAGGATCAACTCGTTACTCCGCGACTCTAGAGCAGACGCTCTGACCACTGCGCACCGCGCGGGCGACAGTTGTGTTTTCGTAAATCGCTTTAAGACTAGAGTTTATTGTCATTTTTTAGATCCCTTTTTCCTGTATATGGCCTCTAACAAGCCACAGTTATATGGGGACTAATTGTGCTCTACATGCAGGCATTGCACGTTTCCAATGTATTATCTAACACAGGCACAGAGGTCTTTATACATGTAACAGCTTCTATATCAATAAATCAATAAATAAAAAGCCATGGAGAATGTTCCTTTCATAAGTCACAAGCTTGTAATAGTAAGTTACTACAAACTGCATTCCAGCTTATTCAAAGATAAGCTTAAAACCAGTAAAATTTGATCAAACTTAATTTGCATTTCTGATGCAGAAAGTTGTATATTGAAGATTGAAAAAATATTTCAAAGACATATCCTTCGTTTAATTTTTTCCACATAATGGATTCTGTTATTGGAGGGTCAGTCGGAGGGATTGAGCCAGCAAGTGCTGTCGATATTTCTAGAAGAAAGATCTTCATATGAGTTTTTAAAAGTATTCTCCTGAGAACGTACTTCCAGCTGCCTACTAAATGTCTTTATTTACAAAGAATACCAACATCGCCTTTCATACTTTGACCAAAAAGGTTTTGGCAAAGAAATCAATTTTCAAATAATTATCAAAATCTTCCTCTAAAGAAAGAACTACAAAGTTACAATATCTAAGATTTATTTCACTCATTGAAGCACATACATGTATTCTGAATGAACAAAACAAATTAATATAGATATAAGATAAAAACTTTAATGGTTGTCCTTTCTTCCAAAAACTTGTAACTGCACTTGATCAAGAGCCTTATGACATATTATATGTGTATTTGGAGTTTGTACATGTAGTGCATAAATCCCTATGGAAACGCGTACATGAATATGAAAAACCATGACAACAATTAGTTTGAAGTTCGTCTGATTTGTGAATCGGGGGATGAGAATCACTGTTTGTTATCTTCACCTTTTACATTTCATTATTTATGATGCTGTAAATTTATGTCAATACTTTATCTATGATTATATATATATATATATATATATATATATATATATATATATATATATATATATATATATATATATATATATATATATATATATATATATATATATATATATATATGAAATATGTGGAGATATCGAACAGTATTCAAGCTCAAAAGTCCATTATACAATACAAAATAGGAGCAGAGCAAACACGGACCTCCAAACATCAGAGGTGGGATCAGGTGCCATGGAGGAGTGAGCATCCCCTGCCGACCGGTCACACTCGCCGTGTACTACTTGTCATGATCGGGAAATAACGGAAATATCCGTCGACAATTCAGTGTGTAAATAATGGCCTAACAATAAGTATGAAAAACGTCAGTCAGCATTTGACTTAATGATAAATTGTATTTGCTGACAAGGTCATTGTATCGACCATAGGACTTACGAAATGATGACTTTAAACGAGACAGCTGATATTCTTGTTTCATCAACTTATTTGTCAATAATTTACCTCGTTTTAGAAATTGTACATACGTAGGACATGCTCTTGCGTATCGAATCAACTGAGAGATATATACCCCGTATGCAGGTGATGAAGGTATATTGCTGCATAAGTAAGGGAAGTTGACGATTGAAAAGTTAAAGTCATCACGTTTATCATAAAGCTTGGTTGTTAGATTACCATTAACATCTTTTTCAAGTAAAATATCCAAATATGAAACAGATGTGTCAGACTCTGTGGTATCTTTTATCTCAAGTTCACCAGGATATATCGTATCGACATAAGAATGGAAATAGCCATTGTTAATTGACAATACGTCGTCGATATATCTAAATGTCGAGTTGAGGGCCACAGCAAGTGTTTTCTTCTTTTCACGTACAAGATTTTGGACAAATTCTGCTTCATATGAATACAAAAAAGGTCTGCTTATAACGGGGCGCAATTGGTACCCATGGGAATTCCAATAGATTGTTGGAAGACCTGGTCTCCAAAAACCACATAGATATTGTTAATCAGAAACTCAAGCATCTTTTTAATGTCAACTTCAGAGTACTTGTGTGTACAATCAGAATGTTTTTTAACAAAATAATTTTGCAAATGACCAATGACAAGGTAAGTATATTTACGAGTTCCATTTTTATTGAAAAAGCAGCTGTCAATGATATCAAAAAGCCTGGACTTTAATTTATCGTGGGGGAATGGTTGTGTATAAAGTTGAAAAGTCGTAAGTTTTTAAGCTGTTGATTTTGGTAAAATCTTGTGATTTCAAATTTTCCAAATGTTCCTTGGAATTTTATATAAATTTTTACACATGTTATATCAGTAACTTTTCAATGGAGCAAGCAGAAATAAATCAAATGCTTTAATTTAAAACAAAAGGATGTAATGGAAACTCAGCTTAGGTAAAAAATAATATTTTCCCCAAAGCATGTATACTTTTTATTTTTTGGAAATACTTTCTCCAATCTGTAACTACAATTTATGATAAAAATAAACTGTCTTTGTCATAATCTAGAAAGTATGTATTCTTTCGGATAGAGTACTCTCTTAATGTGGTAACTTGTGAACACAAAATAAATGGTGCTGTAATACTTAGTAATCAAACAAGGTCAATAGCAACACATTTAACGTCTGAATTAAGTTAAGCATTGAATCTTTATTTTATGAAAGATATAGTCTCATAACTCCAAAGAAGTGTGCAAGCAAATTGAGTAACTCGCGTTAGCTATATAGCGCACTACGAAAATTTTTTTTTGCACACACCGTTGCAGTTATGAGACTATATTTAAAAAAAAAAATAATGATTCAATGCTTATATTTATATTTTTTAACTCCCTGCCTTGACTGCAAATGTGATTTATATTTCAAAATCCCTG